TTTTGCCCATTTTTAGAAAGAAATGAAATCCCACACTGCATCTGTATACCTACTTATCACCTAAATTTCCATTTCTGCTTTATTTTCCCAAGATCTCTGATGCTTGTGGGCCCTATATGCATTTATTTTTCCCTATTTACTACCCTCAGGAAGGAGGGAAAAGAGAATTTTCTTCCCCTTTCTGAGGAATTGAGAAGAAAATAGATTAATCAGAAATTGAAATTATAGAGGTCCTTTCAGCCAAGGTGCTTAAAAGTGCATTCATGTGTCTTACTGATCTTTGAAATCCTGTAGAACAATTAGGCATTTCCTCTTCCCCCAGCCTGCACCCGATATTCACATCGTTGTGTCTAGAATTGCATCTTTGATTAAGTCATGTTATTTCTTTTGTTCCTGGCTTGTTTTATCTCGTGATATTCAGTGGGTAGGAGCCAAACAGCATGAATTGCAAGTGAACTCAATGCAGCTGCTGTACTACCAGGCCCCGATGTCGTCTGCCATGTTGCTGGTCACTGTGCCCTTCTTTGAGCCAATGTTTGGAGAAGGGGGAATATTCGGTCCCTGGTCAGTTTCTGCTTTGGTAAGTTCTGATTGTTTTGGTGTCTAAGAAACAGTGTAATAATAATTGCTCCACTATTAATGCAATTTTAAATTTTCAGAGTACTATCTCAGATTTATTCTCACATTTATTCTTCATAATCACCCTTTAAGGAAAGCAAGGTAAGGAATATTTTTCAGATGAAGAAACTGAAGCACAGAAAGGTGAGAGGACTTGCATGGGGTGGGACAGCTAGTCAATGACAGAACCAGAACTAACAGTTCGGGTCTTCTGATGTCCACTTACTGTTCTGACCATGCCAAGCTATAGCCCACGAATAATTTGGACATTTTCTTTTAATCTCTTTTACAGTGAAAATATAGTTTTATTGGTTCTTTAAAAATATATATAAATAGTACATGTTCATTATATAGATTTTGAACATAAATAAAAATAGAAAGAAAGTGAAGGGCCACTGGAATCCTACCATACTAAGAAAATCACCTTTACCAATTTGGTGATGATCATTTTATGGATTTCTTTTATATTAGATCATTAAACATGAAATGTCCAATTTCAAATCAAAAGTTTAGTTTATTATCTCTCAAACAAGAAACAATACAATTAATCATTAAGTATGTGCCTAAACTATCAACACAGTTTTGCCGTCTTAATGGTAGCTTGTTTATGCCAGCAGCAGAGAAGCCTGGAAAGTGAGTGGTGATGAAATCGCAAAAGATGTTTTCCACAGCTTGTTGAGAATTGAATATTTTTCCTTGCTAGAAGTGGTCTAGCTGGGTGCAGGGGCTCACGCCTGTAATCCTAGCACTCTGGGAGGCCAAGGCAGGAGGATCACTTCAGCATAGGAGTTCGAGACCAGCCTGAGTAAGTGTGAGACGCCATCTTTACTAAAAATAGAAAAAGTTAGCTGGGTGTGTTTGTGCGTGCCTGTAGTCCCAGCTACCCGGGAGGCTGAGGCAAGAGGATCTTGAGCCCAGGAGTTTGAGGTTGCTGTGAGCTAGGCTGATGCCATGGCACTCTAGCCCAGGCAACAGAGCAAGATTCTTGTCAAGAAAGAAGAGAGAGAGAGGGGAAGGGAGGAAGGAAGGAGGGAGGGAGGGAGAGAAGGAGAGAAGGAGGAAAGGAGGGAGACAGGGAGGGAAGAAGTAGTCAGTTGGTGCAAGGTCTGGTGAATGTAGTGGAGGACAGAGAGTTTCCAAGTCCAGCTTCTGGAATTTGAGCAAGTTGTTTATGTGACATGTGGTTGAGCGTCCTTTTGCAAGATGATTGGCCTGTCTCTGTTGGCCGATCTTGGCTGCTAATCACAAGCATCTTCATCATTTCATCCAGTTGGTTGTAGTAGATATCCACTTTAATTAATTGACCAGGTGTCATAAAGCTGTAGTGGATAATACCAGCTCTGGACCACCAGACAGACACTTAGTTTTTTTCTGATGAATATTCGGTTTGGCACTGTGTTTTGGCACTTCATCTTTATCTAACCATTGTGCCAAACACTTGTGATTGTCAAAAAGAATCCATTTTTCATCACACTTAACAATACGGTATAGAAATGGTTCACCTTTATCTCGTGACAGCAAAGGCAAACTTTGATACGATTTTTTTTCTGACATTCATTTAATTCATGCAGTACCCATCTATCCAGCTCGTTTACTGTGCCCATTTGTTTCGAATGGTCCAGTATTGTTGGAATAGTGACATCAAACCTTGCTGCTAATTCACACATAAGTCGAGGTGGAGTCACTTCCACTATAGCTTTCAACTCATCATCATTGTCCACTTTGGTCTCAAGTCACCCACGTGACTCATTTTCAAGATTAAAATCACCAGAACTGAACTTCTCAAACCATCGACATACTGTGCGTTCATTAGCCACATCCTTCCCAAACAGTTCGTTGATATTTTGAACTGTCTGCGCCGCATTGGTTCCACAAAGGAACTCATATTTGAAAATAACACAAATTTTTTACTTATCCATGGTTTCATAAAAAATTGTTCTAAAAAAAATTTTGAAAGATAATCACAAGCCAAACGATGCATTTGAAAGACTAAGGATGTACCTTCACAGTAAACATAAAACAAGAAGTGTCAAAGTGACATGTCAGAGGTATCAACTGTCAAACTTAGTACTTAAGGAAATCAGATATTTCATACTTAATAAGCTAAACACATAGACACACGTGCATCTGTGTGT